CTGCGTTTTTAATGGCTTGTAGAGTCTTGGAGGTTATTTTGATCTCTTGTTTTGGTTTCATGTCGTAGAAATAGTCAAATACAAAAGTTTGAATACTTATTTTGACATGTTTTGACTTAACATCCACTAGTTGCCCCTCAGTCAATCGCTTGTTTGCCCCCCAGTCAACTCCAAAAGCTCACGTGATTGATAGTAAGCAATTGGCATAATTACAAATCATTGCGTCACTTCCTTCTTAGTCAATCCCAGTACTAAAATTGAGTAATGGACCATTGAATCCGAGAGGTACTCAAAACGAGTTGATCAAAATACAAACAAACCTGGTATGCATGACTCATGACTATGAATCATAAAAGATGCGAATGATTCGTGTGTGTAAGATATCATTATTAATATTAAATATTATACTAGCATCAAAAGGTTTAAGTTAAATGTAGGGAGTTCTTCAAATCTTATTTGGATGTCATGGAAAGGTGCAACTCTCTGATCACTGAAAGGGCGGCATGCATTAGTTGACAATACCCAAACATCTCTTTTGTTCGCCTTAATAGCTCATATCCAAAACAGACCTTGCATGTATTTTGGCGTTAAATATCACAGCTATAGAGGGGCCGTAACCTATATTAGTACCTTGGTTATCCATTGTCTTAAACTTAGAGTCTATTTTATGGTTTTATTTCATGAAGGGATTAAAACTATTACAAGTTATCAAAGTGCCTTTGTTTGTCGGCTGTTCAAACAATACATACCACGTGTGAGCATCATTCACCATGTTGTGGGAACTTTCGGCGCAGTGATTTTCTTTCCTCGATTCAATAGAAATGATTATACTTAGAGCTTTCAACTCATTAAAACTTTGTAAAACTCTGTGTTTTATTCAAGTACAGATTGTGGAAATTTGTATATATCTTGATTTTAATCGTTCTTAAGAGTCATAATTGAGTTTTTGGTTATTTATTTTGATTTGATCATGAAATCAGATTTATAGGCGTTAATTGTCAATGATCCAGATCAGCACATGTTTAGATCAAGTTTTATGTCTTGCAATAAATTTTTTAACTTATTCAAAGTTAACAAAGTTATACACGCTCCAAAATTAAGCCACTTTGGACTCGTAAATACAGTTGTAGGAAAATTAATTCAAGCATTTTACGTGTTGCTGGTTACCTAACCTTGTGACGTCACGGYATTAGTACTTGTAACTGACGTAGATATTGAGGTCAATGTGCAAAGATCGTTAGTTGTTTGTAAGAGGGCAAAAACCGTAGAACATTTGATTCGGATGTGAAGATGGCGGAGATTGATAAAGTGATARTTGTATCAGTGAATGACTATGGAAACAGGCGGTTACAATGTGTATTTTTATCTACTCAATAGTCGATTATTGGCTATAAAATTTGTTTAAGGTCTGCAGCTATTGAAAGGGTAAAAAGCACCTTGCGTAAACAAAGAAAAAKCAAATGAATGAAGACTATGACAAGATGGAAAAAAGGATAGAAAAGAAAAGATTTCAGCACGAAAAGACCTTTCAATTGACGTTCTTTGGTTGAAGGCAATAATCTATCTAAGGTGAGGCTTATCGCGTGTTTATATTAGATTATACACTGTAAAAAAAATACAAAACAAAAGATAAGAAAACAATGGAATTAAACAGATATTCAAAAGTGTACATATTCGTCGGTTTGTAAACGCTAACAAAGCAAAGTTTAAAAACTACATAAATCCTTGCAACACTGGCAAAAAAACTCCCTACCACTGAAGAAATATTCAGTTGACAGTTATCTTACAGTCAAATTGGACATCAGAATAGTATTTGGTCTTGTTTTTTGAAAGCGTAAGGGTAGAAAAGAAATATCGAATTGAATGAAGAATATTTCTTTCTTTTTATCGATTTTTCTTTTTTGTTTCTGTTTGCATTGCGTGTGTATTGGAGGTCACTTTGATACGGAAACCCAGTCAGAAACGAAGAACGACTACAGGAAAATAAAGCGGCCTCTTAAACTAAAATAAGATAAGAGCGTTGGTTAGTGACCCTGGGTATGAAGAGTATAACTCGTGAAGCTGTGAACACGCAAATTAGTGTTGCGTTCACACTGCGAAACAGTCCATTAAATCAACTCAAARCCTGCATATCTCGTTGTTGTTGATAATGAACTACTGGTCGCTGTATTATTGTGCTGTCAGATTTGAGTGTCGTTTATTGGGAGACGCTGTGGAGTGTATCAAAGCTTTGGCAAATAGAAAARATATATCTAGGAGTTCATATCGCAGTACCCCAGCACGTGGTMGACGCATTGTCCATGCGGATGGTCTATGGTTAKAGATAGATGTAGAGGAAAGGATAGCTCTGTGGGATTCGCATGTCTGTTGGCAACCTTTATCCTTCGTCGTGCCCGGAAAAACAGAAGTTCAGAAGTATATATTATGAAAGTGAAACTCGGTTGTGTTGTCTGTAATCCAAACTTGCTCAWCATTGCTACTGGTTGCTCTACGGTTATACCATAGATGTACACTTTGTACACTAACAAGAGTAAATAAACTCCCGTTGATTGCAGTTCCAGTGTTCCAAACAAAGCGAACTGTTACTAAATCCCACTGAAATCWTTCCCTGGTCAGCTT